AATGACTGCAGTCCCCCCCCCCTCCCCTCCCCTTTTACTATTTTACTATTTCCCAATTTCCAATGGTTCTATTAGACAGTTCACTAAAGTAAACCAAAGAAGGTCATTTACCAAGCAGCGGATATTAAGACCAGCATTATCAGTATTATGTGTGCAATAAAACTGCTTATTGGCTGAACAAATTTACCAAAGTTTATTACTCAAAATCCCATATATACTGTTAAGATACTGAGTTGTTACACTTACTTTTCTTGAACCAGTCAGCTGACTGCAGTTTTTTTTATACAGTTTAATTATTCACTAAACCTCCACTGTGAACTTTTAGTGTTTAGGGACTTGCTTAACAGCTTGACTGTAAAACTTTATACTAGACAAAGTGAAAATGTGGTATTGTTGTACCACAATTTGTTGCTTGGGGTGGATTGAAATGTAGGCTGAATTACCCATAGATACAGTTTTTACATGATTAAAAACAATAAATGAAGATGTTATAACATTTGTACAAAAAGAAAAAAAGTATCAGGTTATTTATAAAATATTTGAAATGCGGTTTTAATGAATGAATGAATTTCAGTTGTAGCCTACATACTAATACATGTAATGCTTAGAACCATTAGAATAACATAGTTTGAGCCAGCGCGTTTGTCTCTCATCTATGTTTGAGTGTTTGTTCAGGATTTCCCTTGACTGTGTCGCGCGCGCACACACACACACACACACACACACACACACTATGTGGCGCGTCCTGCTGTAGTCTGTACTGTAGCAGCTGTGATGGGCGGAGTCGCTCGTGTGTGGCAACTGTGATTGGTCAAGCGGCTGTCAGTCAGAGAAATACACGACTGCTATTGGTTTAAAGTCTGATTAGGGTCAGTATCTCATGAAGGCTGTGGAGTTTCCTGTGAAAGAAAAAAAAACCCTTGCGTGTCTTATTAAACACAGTTCATGTAAGACTGAATTGAGCTTGAATACACATGTATATTTTTCATATTACTTAACGCACTGGATGCTTATTTTCTGAACAAGATTCAAACATCTGGATTTTATATAGCCCGACTGCTGTTGGTAAAGTTGTTATTTTCTCGCGATGTCCCGTGTCTCGGACCCGTTACCGAAAGCACGCCAGGAAAAAATGAAAGACGTTAATGTAAAGGTGAGTTATAAATGAATTATAACGCCTTTAACGCTCTATCTTATGCCTGAATTGCATTGCTCTTTTTCTTCTTATTTAAAGAATACATACGCATTGCTGTTAAAACACGTATATATATATACAACAACATGGGCAACATAGTGGCATTAACTGAATGAATGTATTTTTGAATAGCTCTCGCCAGTGGTGTGTGGTGAAGGTTTTTTCCCTGTTGTCTGATGGAGGCTGCTTCTACTCTTCTTCATTCTCATTTGATCAAATGAACAAAAGAAGTTACAATAAGGTTTACCTGTATTATTGCTCTTATATAGATCTCTATCTGTGTTTCGTTTATGTATGTGTGTACGTAAGATGTTAGTAGCCTATATACGTGAGTATGTATTCTAAGGTTTAGTCCATTGTGCGGCAGTATGAACACGTTGTCTTGGGCACTAAAGGGAACCAATGGGGGAGGGCCATACAAAGACTGCAGCATGTTTCAGAGCATTCATTGCTGCATTTACTAGTGCTTCATTACACACGCTTGCTGCAGTACGTACGTTCACTAAACACAAAAGTTACAACTTAACGGCTACGCGGTTTACCGTATAGCGCTTCCTTTATCTCCCGTACTCATGGTGTCTTTGTTCGTGTATGTGTTGTGTAAGGTCTTTACGTCATAAATTCGCTTGCCAATCAGTTTATATTAACAAATATCCAGTTCTATTTTTTAGAATTTTTAAAAACAAGTTTCTGTAAGTGACGCAATTACTTCCCTTTTTCTGTAGCCTGTGCATGATTCATTGTCATGTTGGTGTATCGCTATAGGATTAGTATTTGTGGTATATTAAGTTAAAGAGAAATCACCACTTAAACTATTTGTATATTGTATCTGACAAGGCCTTCTGACCTTGTAGTTGCTTTGTTATGTTTTTTTGGAACTGCATCCCTTGTGAAGCTGTGATGGATCCCTTGGGTGCATTTGCTGGTAGACTGTGTATCAGAAAGTAACTAGATGTAGCAGAGAAAATGAGGCACAGATGTTGCAGTTTACCTGGGATTTTATCATTGGAGAAGTCTGTATTGAACACAAAGATAAGCAGAAGTGGTGAAGCCATTTTGGCCGTGTATAATTCCCTGCAAGGACAGTATGGGAGGCGCTTATTGGGGAAGTAGTGAATGAGTATTTCTCCAACACAGTGACAATCAGACAAGGTCAATGTATTGCATCCGTAAATGGTGGAGAGGGCGAAGAAAGGTGAAGAAGCACTTTGGTCCCATTTGTAAGCAGGTGCTGAACTCAGTGACGTTCCTGGTCCTAATTGGATGTTGGGGATTGCCGCATATGCCTTTGGTTTAGCCACTGTACCTTGGGAGCGTTCCTCTGATTGCCATTGCTGGGCTTGACCTGCTCATGAATCGTAGGCTCGCCACCCAACTCTTGTCACCAACATCATTCTAGTCTCATCAAAAAATCTAACCCAGGCTCATTGCAAAAACATGCTTCTACCTACATTTTTGCAAAACTCCAAAAATTTACTTCTCCATAGAATTTACTGCAGTTTTCAGCTCAAATTAACACTGGAGGCAGCAAAATGCCAACAATTTTTATTCCTTTTCACATAAATTAAGACTACTTAAGACTAATTAAGACTGTTTTGACTTCCTTGAAAAATACTATGTCCTGACCTCAAAATACCTTTTACCACAACACATGATTTGTAAAATAATACATTTTGATGTTTGTATCACATAATCAGCGCCATATGTATGGCTTTTCTGATATAGTAAACGCCCTTGGTAGCTCACCTGGGGGTACACAGTTGCACTTGTGATTTGAAGCTCTTGGGTATGGGTCCTGTGAGACGCGATTCACAATAAAAGAGCTCAAAGACTTGTACAAGCAAACTAAAACTTACATGGTTGCTTTAGCAAATGTGTTTTTGCCTTAAGTTTGTGTTTGTTAGGGGTAGGGTTTAGTGTAGGTGATGCATTGTTTTCAAATGCAATAAAGCTTTTAGTGCCACTCACCAGACATTTCATTTCCGAACTGCCACAATATGTACAACTACCAATGTAATAATAAACAATCATGATTATCAGCTTTGGATAAAACTAAATGCGCTTTTATCGTCTCTCAGACAGAAGCGTGCAAGAAGTAACGTAATATCATTTTGCAGAAATGTCACCGCAAGCATGTATTTTCAATGAACCTGGGTTGAAAAAAATCAAATGTTGTCCTTGCATCTGACAGATTGGATATTGTTGCATGTGTAAATGAAAGAAAATGCACAAGATCTGATCTGAGCCACTTCCAAATGTATTTTAAAATCAGATACATATGAAACGGGCAACTTATAAACCATCACTTCCAGCCAATTGTCCTATGTGGGTTCATGAGTTCACCCTTGATGTAAATGTTGACATGTTATGAAATTTACATGAGAAGTGACAATCCTCTGTGCTTCCGTGTCACTTTTCATGCAAATGTCATTATGAAGCATACGTGTGCTTGTAAGTGCTCACACAAAAACTCAAAGCATCTTCTTGTTGAGGTGGGTAATTTGAACTCCTACTAATCCCTGTTGTCAAATGTGTGGACTTGGTACCACCACTACTACCTTCTAGGTCTTAAAACAGTTGTCATCTAACCAATGGTTTGAGCTTCAGTTGACCATATTTGATGTGCTTCATGTATGTGCAGTGTGCACTGATAAATGTTTATATGTGAATGAAATCCTTTGATTCTGGTCATCATATGTGTCTTGGATTGAATTGCTTGATTCATGTGGATTAATATATGAACGTTTTGAAGTGTCATAGTTTTGCTGGAATGGACTTTCAATTGAGGGAGAGAAATCTCTCAGGTTTCATTCAAATTAGGGATGCCCCGATCGATCGGCCAGAGATCGGTATCGGCCGATAATCACATTTCATGACTCGATCGGTACTCACTAATTTGGCCGATCTCACGAACCGATCGCAATTTGATGACGTCAACGCCTGACCACGTACATGATGCGTGGGGACGTAAATGATTTTAAGCCACAGTCATGTCATCGCCGGTGTGGAAATGCTATGACGTTTCAAGAAACAATGAAAAATTAGCTATTTGTCGTGTATGTTTTGCATGATGATGAATGGATGGTTAATTTTTAACAGCAGATTCAGTGACGTTAGAGCTGATCTGCGCCTCGCTGCACAAGTCTGTGGCGCGTTACGTCTCCACGGCCACCAGAGCTGATCGCGGCCGATCTAGTCAGTGCTTGTGTTTATGCAGCCGCGGCATATTTCTCTCTTTTGTGAGTTGGCACAGCATGGAGGACAAAACCTCGTCTGAGCCGTATCGCTGATCGTGGGCTGCTTTTAAATGAACGTTTATTTATAAAACAAAATATCTTCTTTGGCCATATTAGCCTACTCAATAGCA